ACAAACCATACCGCAAGCTTACTATGAACTTAATGAACAAAAAGAAGTACGTAGTTCACTACCGTAACTTACAATTCTACGTGCGCCACGGAATGCGCGTAACGAAGGTCCACCGCGCGTTAAAGTTCCGTCAAGAGCCTTGGATGCGGCCCTACATAGACTTTAACACGCAAAAGCGCACAGCAGCCAAGAACGACTTTGAGAAGAACCTGTTTAAGCTTATGAACAACTCAGTGTTTGGTAAGACAATGGAGAACATCCGCAAGCGGGTGTCGATTAAGATTGTAAATACGCGTGAAGAGGCTAAGTCTTATGTATCCCAGCCAGGCTTTGTACGCTACGTAGACATGCTTAACTTCTATGTAATTCACATGAAGAAAGCCAATCTCTTCTTAAATAAGCCCGTTTACGCCGGCTTCACAGTGTTAGAGCTGTCTAAGTTGCTCATGTATGAGTTTTACTACGACAAATTAAAACCAAAGTACGGTGACAAGTGCCGTTTATTGTACACCGACACAGACTCACTAATAATGGAGATTGAAACCCCCGACGTTTACGCGGACTGYCTTGAAGACATTGACGAATACGACACGTCCGGCTACCCAAAAGACCACCCACTTTACTCAGCTAAGAACAAGAAAGTTATAGGAAAGATGAAGGATGAGGTGCTTGGCAGAGCAATTGTAGAGTACGTTGGGTTAAAGCCAAAGATGTACAGCGTCTTAAAGAGCGACGGCGCAGATAAGAAGGCAAAAGGCGTAAAAAAGTACGTAGTTAAGAAGCGACTTACGCACCAATCTTACTTAGATGTCTTGAATACCCAAAAGACGCAGCGCCACAACATGAACTCCTTACGATCGTATGGCCACCAAATACACAGCGTTACCCAGGAAAAGGTGTCGTTGTCAGCATTCGACGGCAAGCGCTGGATGTGCGACGACGGAATTTACACGCACGCGTTTGGTAATCACACRATAAGCAGTTCTTCTTTGACGAACCCACGCGTGGGACCATCATGAAGATAATACAAGATGGGCTGACCCTTCTTAGCTATTGCACTTTGGATCTGGTAAGTTTCCAAAGACCAATTAGGATCCGTAGCTCTTTTGGATCCTCCTTCTAATTCACCCGTCTCATAGAGATATCGAACCGTGACATTGCCTAATCTCTTTTCCTGGGGGAAGACCGCCCT